GCAGCGTGGACTCTGTCCCTAATGAGCTCACGGTCTGTGGAGGGAGATGAGCGTGGAAGCAAATAATTACAGTGCGGTTTGGTAGGGCGACAGGGAGGGATGCCCTGAGGGCAGAGCCCAGACTTAGTCATCTCTGGGCCCAGAGAGCCCAGTGGAAAAAGGAAGGGACCTGTTCTGAGAGTTTCAGGATAGCGATATGTGAAGGGTTGGGGTGGGGAGACCCCCAGGAGGAGGGCGAACTCTCCTCTGAGCCCGAGGTGTGTAGAGATGCTGCCCGAATGCTTGAATGCCTGTCCCAGGTGGCAGGGGCGTGGAAGGACACAATTCTCCCGGGAGGTTTTCCCGAGAGGTGCGCCCAGGTTTCCGAACCACTCGGCATTCCCGTCCCACCGCTGAAAGTCCTGGGTTACTTACTTGGGCTCTGGAACAGTTGGTCCCAGGCTGCTGAACGTGGGGTGGGGACACCCTAACGAGGCTCATAGACCATAGACCTCCTCACAAGCATCTAGGAGGCCATGCGGAGTTTGGGCAGAGCCGAGACTGCTACCTGTTAGCCCGTCAGCCCCGGAGCGTTCTGTTTGTTGGTAGTGATGCGTGCAGGCGGAGTTGTCGGCTGGCTCTGACTCTTTTCCCGTGGACATTGCTGGGTGCCCGGATTCAGTCTGGCTCTGCTGTATCTCCAAGGAGGAGCACCTTTTCTTCTATCGCTGCAGCTCTCCTCCTCCTCATCCTCCTCTTCCTCCCTCCTCCCACCTCCCTCCTGAGATTGCTGTTGACACAGACTTCCGCTGCCAAAGCTAATTGTGAGGCCTGATCAGTGAATGAAGGCAAAGGCAGTTCCCATGACAACCATGAAGAGTTTCAAATATAGGGGCTGATGTGTGTGATGGGTTGCAATTACTTGGGTGGAAATGGATGCGTGGACACCAAGGACTTTAAACATAGGCTCTGAAGGTGGAGGGGGTGTTGGGTTTCTTTGGCAGGATCCTTTGTGTGATGAAGAAGGAAGGGAAGAAGGTCACAGACTTCCCCCACAGTCAGTTCCACGTGCCTCCGGTGTGTGGAATGTGGGATAAAACCCCGCGGGGGCTTTGCAGAGGCACGACTCCAGCCCTTCTGGTGGGAGAGGCAGGGCACGCAGAGACAAATAGCAGTGCCGAGTGTCAGATGAGAAACGTTAGAAGCGCTGTCGGCTGGCGGAGCACCATAGTAACCTGAGAAGGCTTCCTGGAGGAAGTGGGCTTGAACTGAGCTTTGAAATGAAGCTTTGTGGGGAGTGACCTCATTCAGGACACAGCCATGGCCTGGGAGGAGAAGTCTGTCTACCCACTGCCCCTGGAAGAGGTAGGTTGATATGAAAATCATAGGGCTACACAGAGCAGCACTGACTGTACAGCTACAAACGAGGGGTACCCGGAGCCCTGCTTAGTCCTGTCCTAGCTGTGAGAATTTGGGCAAGGTGCTTAGCCTCTCTGTATCTCCATTTCTCCATCTCTAGAATGGGCATGAATAATTCCGGTCTCATTGGTGTGCTTTGAGGGTTAAATAAGATATGGTTCAGTTTGCTGCAAGGATGGGGCCTGGTGTGGGTTTGGTACTTGGTCTATGTCTGAAGGTGTTCCCATTCCCTAGTCTTTCTATATCTGTGTGGTTCTGGCCTGTGGTGATCCGTGTTCCTGAGGTTCTCACTGTGGGGGAATTTTGTGTGTTCTCAGAGTGAGTGAATTTATTCACCTCTCCCTGGTGATGAGGACTGTGGCCCCATTTCTCCTGCTGGGGATGCAGTGGGGAGTAGAGGTCATGATGGAAGGTGTACGGGGACACCATACAAAAGGGTCCCAAGTACCTTTGGGCCAGTCACTGTGAAGCTGCAAATGAAGAAAGGGGGCCGATAGAGATGGGACAGGTTGGCCGTGGAGAGTGACTTTGCTGGAGACCTGGCATTCCAGATGCCTCAGAAAAGGCCAGCGGCCAGGGTGGGGCAGAGATGGGAGCAGGTGGACTCCTCAGGGCCCATGGGCTCCCCTTGGGGTATCTGCGGGAGGTGGGCCTGAGTTAGCAATGGGGGGTGGGCGGCTCCTGCCGGCTGGTGAGGAAGATGTGGGCTGGGCCGAACAGGCTGAGACTCAGCTCTAGTTGAGTTGTGGCAGGTCCTGCCCTCCCAGGAGAGGAGGTGTCGCTCTGATTCTTGGGGCTCTCAGAGAGAGAGCCAACCAGGCGAGTGGCCTCTGTCTCGCCCAGCCCCCTACCTTTCCTCCCTTCTTGCTAGAAACTCTGCTCAGCACATTCCAGCTCTGTGCAGAGCCTAGTAAAGGGCCCCCGCCCACGTGGGGAAGACCGCCTTGTAAATAAATAACTGAACTTGGTTGTGATTGGTGCGCTGGGAGAGGCCCTGCCTGCTCTGGGAAGGCCCGGGGAGAAGGGGGTGATGCTCACAGAGGCCAGATGAGCTGGAAAAGTGGTGGAGGGAGGTAACTTTCAGATGAAGCCTTGCTCCTTGCACCACGTGGGGGAAGGGGGTGCGGAACCCAGGCAGGCAGCAGCATCTCAAAGTCTCTGATGCGATGCTCAGACCCATACCTTAAAGGGAAGTGGTTGAGTTCAAGTGACCCCCATCCCTCGTTGCGTTTTCCTGGGGTTGGCAGAGAGAGGGGGGTTAGAGGACTGGGAGGAGAAAGGCCTAGATTGGAATTCTAGCCTACCACACAGCATTTGGGTGCTCTGTGGGCAAATCACCAACGTCTATGTCTAAGCCCTTTTCCCCATACGAGACAAGGTTGTGTGTGGAGTAATTCAAATGAGATGCTCCTACTGGCGTGGTTGGCACAGAGCCTGGTACATGGCAGGGGCTTGATAAACTGTGGCAGCCGCAGCAGCAACAGCATTAATTGTTACTCTCCAGGCAGCACGCAGACTGTGTGTGGAGTGGGTAGGTGGGCCAGGGTTTGGGGGACCAGGATAAAGGGGGGACTTCTCTTGGCCTGGCCAAGGTAAGAGCTAAGGGGTGCAGAAGCCCATTTTCCCATCTTGAACCATGACTCAGGACACTGTTCCTTGCCCTGCCTTGTCACTTGCCCTGGAGAGGAGACCAGCGGTGCTGCCCTTTGTCCCCAGGGGTGATGAAGGTGTGGGCCCTGTGCCTCCTGGGATCTCCTCACCAGGTGGGAGCTTTTGTCTCTCCTAAGACCGCTTATCCCAGCTGAGTAACCCCATGGGGCACCCGGTAGGGGCAGCAGTGGGGCGTCTGTGGTAGACCTGGTAGAGGAGCACATCGCTGGAAACAGCTGTCACACATTCTCACTAGCCCGAGACACTTTTCTCCGACCTTCGCTTCTTCATCCGTGAGACAAGAAGGAGCGCAGAATGAGTTCTCCCAGAAACGGAGCTCGAGTAGCTAGCAGCGCCCACAGCGTGCGGGGATGCGCTGCGTTTGTGCACAGAATCCTCACAGACGACACGTGAGCACCGGAGTCTGTGATGGCCCCTCCTTGGGAGGTGGGGGCTCTGGGTGTTCAGCTACAGGGAGGGGATGCCAGGCATTAAATCCAGGAGTGGAGTGGGGGGGGGGGGGAAGGGCCCCTCCTTGCCCCGTTGTTCTCCCGCCCTTCCGTGTCCTGGGCATTGCAGCTTTCAAAGGCTCAGAGCCTGGGAACTGGAGGTCATTGCTTTGGGGTCCTCAGCCTTTCCCCAGGGATGGGAAGCCCTGATGCGTGGGGGGTGGAGGGTGGGTGGGGAGTGCTTCCTGTGGCCCTTCTGAGAGAGGAGAAAGTACCCCAAGTGGTGCTGGTGATGGGGAGGCTATCTGGATGGAGGGGGGGGGGGGGGGTGTATAATCAAGCAGAGGGATGAGCCATCCTAGGGTGAGGTGTGGGTGTTTGCATGGGGAGGGCCAGGCTGGCATGGGGAGGCTTTGAGCCACAGCCAGTGTGGGCTTCCAGAAGCCTGCTTTCGGAGGTGGGAGCCGGAGGGAGGAGTAGGGCTGCGTCTGGTTAAGAGCCTGGTACTTAAAGCCGGACCGCCTGGCTCGGAGGGAGTCCCAGCTCTGCTGCTTTCTAGCCCTGTGGCGTTGGGTAAGTTACTTCACTTGGCTTGCCTGTTTCCTTATCTGCAAAATGGGGTGAAGGTGCATACTGTCGAGGCTTCCCTTTTTTCTTTGAAGATCGGAGGGGCTGCTGCTCCTCAGGCTCTTGCGGCGCTGGGGCTGGGTGAGGCCGGCGTCCTGGGGGGAGACCCCAGAGGTGGGAGAGGAAGTCCCACCAGCTGCGGCTGGACCCCAGGCGTGGCCGGTCGTTTGACCCTAGAGATGCAGAGGATGCCGCTGGTATTCCCTTCGGGGTCCCCTGCTGGGAGGAGACGAGGTGCCCGGGGATCCCCGAGGTGCCCCGAGATCCCGGGCCTGCCTGGGAAAGGCAGTGGGCCTGGGCCGCAGCGGACGCGGCTCCCTCGGTGGTGCCCCCGCCTCCCGGCTGGGCAGGTCCAGCCCCCGGCGGCCCTGCCCCCGCCCGGCCGGCCTCCGGGATTGGCTGGTGAGCGCGCCGCCCCCTCCACACCAGCCGCGCCGGCGGCAGGGCGGGGAGCCGAGCCAGCAGCTGGCCGCCGCCTCCTCTGCAGTGCCGCCCTCCGTGCGCTCCGCTCCGGCGGGGATAATGGGAGGCCCGCCGGCCCATGCACCAGAGGAGGCCGGCCGAGGTAGAGCGGGCAGGGCGGGGAGGCACAGGCCAGCCCGGACGCAGGAGGAGGGGCAGTGGCCGTCTGGATCTGGGGAGGGTGGAAAAAGGAGAAATGAAAACAAAAACACACTGGAAGGCCATTGCGCCCCTCCACTGCGCGTCTGGGCGGCAGCTGGAGGCAGGAAGATGGTCCCCGCTGTCCTTTCTTCCCTTGGCTGCCTTCCCCCCACCCTCCGCTTCCCCTGCAGCGGTGCTGGGGGTGCAGCCGAAGGACTTGGAGTCCCTCCTGCGGTCGGCCTGGCTCATCAGTCTTTCTGGCTTCTTTTGCAGGTGGAAATAAAGGCTGGTGAAGGAGCCGGGCCCTGGGGACAAGCGGCCGCTGTCAAGGTACCTTGTGTGTGTGTGTGTGTGTGTGTGTGTGTGTGCGTGAGAGAGAGAGAGAGAGAGAGAGAGAGAGAGAGAGAGAGAGAGAGAGAGAGAGAGGAGAGGAGAGGAGAGGAAGGATAAAAATAAAGGGTCTCCTCGGGTGATCCCTTAATCTCCCACTGTGTGTGTAGCAGCCGCTGAGGGGGAGGGGTGGCGGGGGTGTGGGCGGCCAATGAATTCTCAGGCCTGTGTGGGTTTTGTTTGGATTCTTTTTGCTTTCTCAGCTGGATGGTTTGGGTGCAGTTGGGATTGGGTTTGTTGAACTGTGTTTTTTTGTTTGTTTGTTTGTTTGTTTGTTTTTTAAAGACATGCAACCCGCTACCCACCCCTGCCCCTGCCCCTGCCCCTGGAAATCTCTCTGGAGAATGTCCCTGGCACCGCTGGTTTGCATCCAATCTGCAGAAATCCCTGGGCGGGGTGGCGGGGTAAGAGGGAGGGTAAATTGTGCTCCTGAGTCTGAAGCTGATAGGGTGTCATTAGTCATGCTGCTGTCACCATGGAGATGGCTGGAGAGGAGAGGAGGTGGTGGGGGTGAGGATATTTTGGGTAGGGTGGGGGCTGATGCAACATCATGACTGGGAAGCCGGCAGGAGGCTGCTGTTACTCTGTGCTTGGTGTCTGGGGAACCAAGAAGGGAATGTTACCAGGTGAGTAGGAAGCAGAGAAGGGGCTCTGAGCTTCTCCGTGTGGCTGTCTGAAGGTCAGGGCTGAGGTATTTGGGACAGGGCAGAGTCTATAACTAGGAAACACAGGTCTTCCTCCTGGGTTGACAAGGACCAGGATCAGTAGATTTCCTTGGGCTTTTCCCCTGTTTTCGGGGCTGGGGACCCACAGTAAGTTTGGGATTACTCAGCAGTATCCTCCGCTGGCCCCAGGCAGAGAAAACAAAGCGGGTGGCAGCCCCATTCGGCAGTCTCTCAAGTTCAGAGCCGAGAGGCTGGGGGACAGGTGGGCGGGGGCAGGACCAGATGGGACTTTTCTAAGGAGGGAGGGCGCCCATTCTTGCCTGTCTCAACCCCACCTTCCCCTCGGGCCCCGGAGCCTGTGGGGAGCTGGGGGATCTGGTTGCTTGGGTAGCAGGTGGAGGATCCACTTTGTCCCCAGATGCTCCTCCCTGGAAACCCGCCTCCTGCTTCCTGGGAAAGCTGTGGGAAGCTCCGTGGAGGTGCCGCCTGCCTGGCTGCCTGGGTGGGGACACTGGCAGGGAGGGGCTCTGCTTCCCCACGTGGGATGGGGGCTCCTGGGTGAGGCTGCGGGTGGATCAGAAGCCAGGGTGGCTCCTTGGCTTCTTCCCAAGGAACTTGAGGCAAGGAAGTGCTTGGGGGAGGGAGGGCAAGAGTTTTGTTTCTGGAGCAGCTTCTGGGGGAAGGAGAGGAGCCAGGTGGCTTTGGCTCCGCCGGGGAGCTGGGCGTGCTTTGGAGAGGCTGGGAGAAGTGGGTGATCACCTGGGACCAGACCGTGGGAGGCCCTGAGGCAAGCAGAGGGGGGTTGATACTGGCGATGCTGTGGGTGCGGAGGAGAAAGCCGTGAGCTCACTCCACTCAGAACCCCCGGGTTCCACCTCCACTTCCTCCCCTGGCCTCGCGCTGCCGACTGGGGACTGCGCTGTGAGGTCTGTGGGCATGGAGTGCACCTGTTCTGCCCCCCACCCTGGGGGAAGCAGGACAGGGGATGAGGACAGATGGGCTCAGGGAGGGGGCAGCGCCCTCCCTCCTCTGTGGCTCTCAGCCCTCTCAGCCGGAGCTTCCCTCTCTGCTGGGAGGAAGGACTGCTGGCCGGTTTGTTTACTCCTGAAGGCCCCCCTCCCTCCTGCCTCGCCTCCCAGTGGCTTCTCTTCTTCTTTCCAAGTGTGCTCTCCGTTTCTCCCTGCTGCCTTCTGCTGGCCTAGCACTGTGACCCTTAATGTTGTGGGCATGTAGCAGGGCTACTTGGGAAACCAGAGCAAGCCCTTCACATACATCTGTCTTTCCCCCTTCTCAGGGTGGAGCCCGAGCTGACTGTGTTTTCAAAGCTCTGAGGTTGTGTCTGTGCTTGTTTTTATTGTTGAGTTCCGTGTCGTCGGAGAATCGCCGTGTTCTCTTGGCCTGCCGCGGGCACTGCCAGCAAGCACGGGGAGCTGAGCCCCCTCCCCCGACTTTTCTTGGGTGACCGGTTTGGTGCGGTGTCCCACATCCCCTGGATGCGGCAGTTTGGCTGGTCCTCTTCCATCAGCAGGTCATGGTGTAGGAAGCTGTCTGCTGCGTGAGCTCTTTCTGAGATCAGACCAAGATGCTGTGAGACCCCCTTGTCCTGTGCCCCAATCTGTCCCCATGGGATGGGTGCAGGCGGGGGGAGTCCCGGGGGTGTCCCAGGGGTGGACAGTATCCAGGAGCCAGTGGGAATATGCTCATCTGCTGTGAGTGGTGTCCTGCCGGGGTTTCAAGAAGATCCATGATGTAGGGTGTGCAGAGTTGAGCTTGTTAAACACAAGTTGTCACTGTACTGTCGGGTGTGTTCCGTGTCTACCCATGATCTGCGGAGGAACATGCCAGAGCACACGCTGTTGCCGCCGCCTCCTTCTTGGCAGCCTGGGCAGGAGTGAGTGCCCAGTGCCGAGAGCACCGTGCTGCCCGGCTTGCGGGCTCCCACGCTGCCCCCACGCGCTGCCCCCTGGGAATCCTCAATTGGCTAAAGATGTCTGGAAACTATTTTGGGACCGTGCCCAGGATCTCTGCCTTCGGTCTCTGCTTTTGACCACTGCAGAAATGCCCCTTTGTTGAGAATCCGCCAGCCTCGACTTTCCACACACCGTGGGTGACTCCTCCCAGTTTCTCGCCCGCTTTGCCTGCGCTTCCCTTGATCTCTGAGGTGCGTTTACACGCGGTCGTGAACTTGGGGAGATACGAAGCAGGTGGTGAGCATGTCAGGCTAGGGCGGGAAACGAGCCGACACGAGAGGATTTCGAGTTTGAGGACAGAGAGGGGGAGAGAGGGCTTCCTGAATGATAACAAGAACTGGAGTTAGAGTCCCAGGGCTCAGCGCCTCCTCCCTGGTGACTGAACTGGTAACTCTTGAATGTCCTGGGGGAGAGAGGACTTGACAGGATGGACAGGTGAGTGGGCCCGAGAGAGCCTTCCCCGCACACTCGAGTGCCCACAGGGATCACTGCAGGGCTCTCGCAGCCCTCCTGCCAGCTCGCTGAGGAGGGGCCTGGCCCTGGGCTCCCTCCAGCTGCAGATGGACATTTCTGCTAGAAATGGTCTTTGTGGTCTTGCCAGGTCCCCTCCCATTCCTACCCCCCCCCCCCCACCCGCCTCCCCCAGGCTGTAGCCTGTTCAGCTGGCTGGGGGTGGGGGCAGGGAGTGTGGGAGGGGTTTTGGTTTGGCTCAGCCTTGGGTCTCCCAGTCCTCTCCAGTCCTCTTCCCACCCTGACCTCTTGGGCCTCGCTTCCTCTCGCACTTGAGCATCTGGCAGGCAGCCGAGGACTCCCCCTTTGTTCCCAGCATGTTTGCAGCGTCTGAGGAGGAGACGGCTTCCTTGCGGGTTAGTTGAGGAAGCCTTTGGGTAGCTAGGGAGCAGGGGCGGCTCAGACAGTTAGAATCTAGAGATTGTCCTGCTGTCCAGGACTATGACCCCATTCACTTTCTCTCCCTTTCCTCCTGCCTTTGTCTTTCAACATTTACTGAGCATTTACTGTGTTCCAGGGACAGGCCTGGGTCCTGAAAAATAAGAGCAATCATTGTCATTTGATCTTCGCAGTATCACCAGAAGCAAGAGACACTGGCTCAGTCACCTAAGCTCATCACTCTATGTGGGCAAACCAGCACTGGCAAGTTTTCGTTTTTTATGCAGTGGAGGCTTTTGGATCCGTGTTTGGGGCTGTGCACCTGCACATGGCAGACCACACCCTCGCCCCCAGCTGTGCCTGGCTCTGTACCTTTGCTTGTATCTCTGGCTCAGCGGACCTCAGGGGACTTTGAGGGAAGAATCAACATGCCAGCCACGTTGTCAGTAAATTAGCATCTCTGGGATCTGGCAGTTACAGAGTAGACTAGTGGGGCCAGCAGTTTGAACGGAAAGCGTTGGCGTCAGACGTGTTGGGTTCGAGACGGAGATAAGGCTGGATGGGAATACCGCCTGGGCCTTTCACCTGGGACCCAGCGTGGCCTACCCACGGGCGGCTCCGGCCCCGCAGTCTTGACCGCCTGGGAGCGGGAACCACGGAGGGAGACCCCCGGCTGAGGTGAGGAGGGCAAGAACGGGCAGTTGTCCTGTTTCTTTTCCTCTCTGTTCCCAAATCTGCGACTTGGGTTCTGTCATCGGTTGTGAGGAAGTCCCTTCGTGTCCCTGGTCTTCAGTTTCCTCTGCCTTCCAGAGGTAATTTTTCTCAAACTAAATGTGGGTGGTGGTGGCGTTTCTTTCTTAATTTCCAGAATGTTGCAGATACACAGACGGGTCTGTGAGCCGGGGAAGGAGGCGCCACGATGCAGGTTCCCGCGGCTGCTCCGGCTTTAAAGGCCCATGTTGGTTCCCGCGTCTGTGTTGTGGGGCTGGTGATGCACAGTTTACGGCCACGCCCCGCACGGCATTACTTTAGAACCTCACATCTGGGAGAGCAGAGGGTCTCTGTTTGGACCACTCCACCCCTTTCTGGACATGGCTTTCCCTCTCTGCTGTCCTGTCCATCTTGGGGACAGAGCAGCACCTGGAAGAGCAGAGATCTTGCCGTCCCAGCGGCTCTCTGAGTCCCTCAGAAGAGTTTCTTGCGTCTCAGCTTCTTAGGTAAGGGTGCCGCGTTTGCCCTTTCTTCTCTGCAAGTCTCAGATCGTGATGGAGAAGCGTCGGAACTTGCGCAGCCCCCTGAAGGGGCAGGACTGCGTGTGTGTGTGTGTGTGTGCGTGTGTGTGTGTGTGTGCGCGCGCGCGCGCTGTGTGTGTGTGTGTGTGTGCGTGTGTGTAAAAACGGCATGACTTAGAGCAGCG